TTTTAAGTATGGCAGCAGGAATAATATCTTTGGCCAGGTAAAACTTAGATCTGTCCATCTCAGATGCCTTCTTTCCCACATATACTGTAAATAATTAACTCATGTTAGTTGGATGTGTTAATGTTTCATAATAAATATTGATAGATCTGTCATAAAGTTGTCATCTAAACTTTAAGTGTAAGCTGGCAAAAATTCCAAAGGCGCTACTGAGTGACATAGTAGAACACAAGATGAAACTCATACAGATCTGAATTCAAATTCTGACAAGTTCTGAACTATGCTCCATTTAAATTGAGGATACTATTAAAACATTTCAGGATTATTGGAAGGTTAAAAAAAATGTATGTGAAGTGAACAGCATATATCAGGTCCTCAATTAATAGTAGCTTGTTTCTTTGTTCATTCGTTCTGTTACAAAAAACTGTGATGTGTAAGACGCCACTGTATTTTTCATGGGGAGCTTCCCATGGGGAAGCATAAGTTGAAAATATGAGATGGGTGCTGCGAGCAGTGTTCACAGGAAAGTCCTATTATTGGGATACACAATGATACCCATTCCTAGAGAGCTCCATGGCACCTGATCATGCTGTTGACTCACAGCTTGGAAATACTCATTGGACATAGAAATAGGAGACCAGTTTTTTATTTTTATTTATTTATTTATTTATTTTTAAATTAATTAATTAATTTATTTTTGGCTGCGTTGGGTCTTCGTTGCTATGCACGGGCTTTCCCTAGTTGCGGCGAGCGGGGGCTACTCTTCCTTGCGGTGTGTGCACTTCTCATTGTGGTGGCTTCTCTTGTTGTGGGGGAACTGGCTCTAGGCACTCAGGCTTCAGTAGTCATGGCACGTGGGCTCAGTAGTTGTGGCGCACGGGCTTAGTTGCTCCGCGGCATGTGGGGTCTTCCCAGACCAGGGATCAAACCTGCATCCCCTGCATTGGCAGGCAGATTCTTAACCACTGCACCACCAGGGAAGTCCAGGAGACTGGTTATTTCGAAGAGGAAAATCATATTAGCAACCTTATTCTTGTTTTCTCCCAATGGTCAGTGGCTGCAGCTGCAAGAGTGGAGAATTTGAGTGAACCATTAACGTATTAATTCTGATTGACCTGCTGAAGAACCTTGAAATAAAGTTTAAAAGTTACCAACAAATATGCAGGAAGAGATACTGAGGTTTTGTTCTTTCTGTCTGAAAAACAATTTATACAAATAATCTCACTAAAGAGAGGCCATTACTAGGTCTGTCCAAATTTGCCTAAGACAATCCTGTACCTCCTGTTTCCTAGTGAAATCCTGTTTGTACCTGTTTCTAAGAGAAATATTTAATAAAGCTCCCCTTTGTTCTCAAAATTGCCAAGTTTAAATGATAAAGCATCCTGTTTTTAATTGATTAGCAAAATAATTTTTTGTTTTAATTCTATTTAAAGCAGTTCCTCTGAATAACTATTGCATATTTCTTCCCACCTCTTCCTCTATTCCTTTCACAGGAAAAATTAAAGACATATTTTCAGGGGAAGAATTTGGCCCTCTGACTCGGCTTGTTTTGGTGAACGCTATTTATTTCAAGGGGGATTGGAAACAGAAATTTAGAAAAGAAGACACAAGGCTGATGAATTTCACTCAGAAATATGGTGCAGCAGTCAAAATTCCGATGATGAAGACTCTTCTGAGAACAAAATATGGTAATATGAAAAAAATCACACTCTAAAGCACTATTTTGGGAATTGCCAAGTATATTAATAGTTTATTTTCTCTGTTCCAGGTTATTTTTCTGAGTCCTCCATGAACTACCAGGTTTTAGAATTACCTTACAAAGGTGATGAGTTTAGTTTAATTATCATACTTCCTGCAGAAGATGTGAACATAGAAGAAATGGAAAAGCTAATTACTGCTCATCAAATCCTGCAGTGGTTCTCTGAGATGCAAGAAGAGGAAGTGGAAATAAGCCTCCCTAGGTTGGTAATGTCATTTTATCATTCTTGTTCTTATGTTTTCACTTATAGAGGGACTTGAATAGCCGGCTGAAAGATAGCCAATGTTCGAAAAGGCTATTGACAAACATAAGAAAAAAACCCGTTTGGAGTTGTTACTCTACTTTATGGTTACAAAGGCAGGTTTGAACATTGCCAGCATTGCTTTGCCATGACAAGGATGGAATTTAAGTACTCAATATTCTCTGAAAGAGTTGAAGAAATGTAAGTCTTCAAAACAGAATGCTGGGATTAAAGGGAATTATTATTCTTTTTATTATACAAACTTATCTTTCTCTAACTTTTTTTTCCTGATTGGAATTTAAAATATTTTGTCTTCCATTGTGTTTAAGGAAAATATAATCCCCAAGACTCTTGCAATACTCTACAATTAAAAGATATGTAAAAGTGCCTTTGACAGATAGTGCTGTAAGAGTCATTAAAATATAAAACATAAATCCTAGGGTCATTTTTTATTATTGGGCTATATATATTTATATAAATATTTAAAATTTTTTATTTTTACACAATTTTAAAAGTTACTTTCCATTTATAGCTATTATGAAATATTGGGGTCATTTCAGATAGTTAATACAAAATGGAAATCACAAAGGTGTATCTCAGGAAGCCATAATTATAAACACTAATCCTTTGATATCATGGTTCCTGGAGACAGGAGAAACTTCAGAGAGTAAGGAGTGCCCAAATAAATCACACTCTACCTGAAGTTCTAAAAAGAGGCCGATGTCTAATAGATTATTTTCTGTCCCTTCATTTCTAAACTTTTCTTCAAACACTCATCAAGGCCTTCCTGGCCCTCCACCTCTCCACCCTCTTAACTTTTCCTTACTTTCCCACTTAGCCGGGATCCAGTCAGTTATTTCAATTGTACTCTCACCAAATGTTTTAAATATTTCTGTCACCTTGTCTTTGTCCTTCTGTAGTTCTCTCCTCAACAAGCTACTCCTGCTTCACAACTACTGATTTTGTTAAGCAAAACTCTTTAAATCAGTCACTTTGGTCTCCCTGAGGCTGGAGCTTAGTAGTCCTTCTATTCAGAGAACTTTCTCTTCTAACACCCCCACCAAGAGAGCAGTACCTCTGCTCTCCAGGCACTGTTTCATGTTGATTCACTTACTCTCAATGTATGTCTCAACTACCTTTTCCTTAAAGAAAAAATATTAGCATGCAAACTCACCTCTCTACTCTTCACGTCAAAAATTGTGTACATTTTTGCTAAACTTCTCTTTCTCTGTCTTCCTTGATATCCTGGAGAAAGAGGTATCCTATGATTCCCTCACACTAGCTCTGGGGTCTTGATCCAAATATTTTTAACCATCCCCTTTTTCTTGAAAACCCTTCTTTCTTTAACCCCTGTGGCATTACTTACTGCTATTTATTTTTCTCTCTTTCTGTGAAATTTTCCTCTCCCTGACTTATACCTTTTTTTCCTTCTGTCCCCAGATAATATTTACCAGAGTTTCATTTTCAGAAATTTCCTCTTCCTCTCTCTTTTATTTGTTCCTTACTATTCATGTCTCTAATATCGACTCTCTCTTTCCAATCTCTCTTCCAGTTCTCTACCATCTGTAAATCTCTACTTGGATGTTACTCAGTCTTTCAAAGAGTATTTCTTTTAGCTCCTACTATGGGCCAAACACCAGGGATATAACGGTGTATGTGACGGATAGTTTACCTATTGATCATAGAAATAATAATTTTTAGAATTGGTTACTTTCAAATTTACTTCTCTCTCTCTTTTCCCTTTGGAAAGATTAATATTTGGGGTCACACGCAAAAATACCCCTGAGTTTGAGAACTGTCTGCGCTATGTACTAGTAGTGGGGTCTTCGGAGAATCACTTAATGTCCTGAGTTGTGGTTTTATTAGTACAAAATGGGGATAATGGTACCTATAACTAAGGTATCTTCATCTTCATTAGCCTAGATAACAAATGCCTAGATAATAATGTATAAGTTCCAAACTGAATTGACAATAGGAAATACAGGCTTTTTTCAGAATTCCCTTCTCCAACATTTTAGCAATCCCAACAGGAATGGTTCACAGTCCACAAATCTGCCTAGACTATTGTAGTCTGGACAGCTTTTCCAAACTGCTTGGCCTTGTTATCAGCCACTCCAAACTGTAGCCACACTTCTCATACAACTTCTCCCAAAAAAATAGTGTGGACGCAGACTTTGCTTTTAATTTGCCCAGGAACAACTGTTATGTGTTGAATTATGAGCTCTCCAAATTCGTATGTTGAAATGCTAACTCCCACTACCTCAGGATGTGGCCTTATTTGGAGATAGAGTCTTTGTAGAGGTAATCAAGTTAAAGAGAAGTCATTAGAGTGGCCCTAATCCAGTATGGATGGAGTCCTTATAAAAAGGAGGAATTTGGATACAAAGATACACAGGGAGGGAAGATGATGTGAAGAGACATAGGGAGAAGATGGCCATCTATAAGCCAAGGTGAGAGGCCTGGAACAGATCTTTCCCTCCCAGCTCTCAGAGGGAACCAATGCTGCAGACACCTTGATTTTGGACTTCTAAACTCCAGAACTGTGAGGCAATACGTTTCTGTTATTTAAGCCATATAGTTTGTGGTAATTTGTTAAGGTAGCCCTTGGCAAGCTACTACAAGTAAGAGCAACTTCCATGTTTAACCAAACTTTACAGAAATCTAATAATAAAAAGGGCTTACAAGGTGAAAAGAAATTTAAAACCAGGTTTCAGGGATGAGTATTCCTGGAAGGTAGGTCATTTCTTGTACCAGGGAGTCTTCCCCTGTCCATTATTATCCTTAGCCTGCCATTGTCATGGGGTCCACTCACTCAAAAGGGGTGTCTTTCCCATCTCCATCCTACCCAGCATCCAGAGTCCTCCAACTTTTCCTAGCATAAAATGAAGGTAACACAGATTTTCTTCCATCCCCTCTAAGGCCAGATTCCTAGTCGTAGTAGGAATCTATAACAGATTTCAACCCTTAGTGAAAACAACGTCTTCATATGGGGTAGAACAGATTCCACTCTCATCATCTCAAACTTCTCCATCTCCATCCCAGGGGTTCTATTTGCATTAAAAAAGCTCATTGCGTTGCTTTTCCCAAACAAATGAGGAACTTGCCTTAAAAGGTGAAATCGAATCTTCAGTTATATGGAAGCAGAAACATTAGTTGGCAGTTGTGCCACCTTTTCCAAACAAATTCCAGGCACCAAAGATTTTTTTTTTATCACAACATTGTTAACTTTGAAAAAATACAGAAATAATGTAAAAGTTCAACAGTAAACAAATTTTAAGAAAAGTGTGGTAGAATGTAACCTAGCCAATAACAATGATAGATATGGAGGCTGTGATAATGAGAAACAATTATGGTATATTTTAATAGAAAAAAAACTGGATTAAAATTTTTTTACAATGATTACAGCTATGTAAAGAAACAAATCTACAGAAAGAAACAAAGGAAATTTGCCAAAATGCTAACATTAGTTGTAATAGGGTTATGGCATTATGAACATTTTGTTTTTACTTTTCTATATTTTCTATTTCTTTCTTCTCCCTGCTTGCCTGCCAAATAGAAAAGATAATACATGGGAATGAGTTAGGAGCTTGCTTTTCTAGATAGCTGCTGAGGTGTAGAAAATGTAAACCTACTAAGGTACTGGGTTTACTTGACCAAATAATGCAATCTAAAGATTGCGCAAAGTCCTGGGGGGCCCCATTGCCATTTTCTGGGTGCAATTCTTCATGCACAGACTCAGAACATGACCCTGTCTGTGTGTGGTGGTGGTGAGGGGTGGGTCTGATGTCTACCTGATATCTCTCTCCTGCATGATCCCGTGTGATTTAGAGGTTTTAGCACTGGATTAGCCGATGCTATCCGACCTCAGCATCCAGAAGGGAAGAGAGAAGTGCTTAGGATGTTTGGAATAATCCCAGGAAATCTAGTTCTAAGAGATTCCCCCAGAG